GTGGGGGGTGGAGGGTGGTGAGGATGAGAATGGGGGTGTGGGGGGTGGAGGGTGGTGAGGATGAGCCTGGGGGTGTGGGGGGTGGAGGGTGGTGAGGATGAGCCTGGGCGTGTGGGGGGTGGAGGGTGGTGAGGATGAGAATGGGGGTGCCTGGGGTGGTGGGCAGTGAGGGGCTCGCACCCTAGCATGACCACAGGCCTGGACTTGCTGCCCAGCAGACAGGCTGACGCTGACTCACCTGGCCTGCGGCGATGTGTCCCGGCCACCACGCAAGGGCAGGCTCCCTCATCCCTCCTTCAAACGTGGTCTGTTTCCCACACAGAAAGGGGCCGTTGCTGCCACCTGAGAGAGAGGGGCTGCAAGTCAGACCACTGGGACCCGACCTCGCCAAGCCCTCCCCTTCCCTCCCCAGGTGACAGTGAGTCACTGAGACTCAGTGGGGACAAAGGGCACTCTGGCTCCAGTGTAAAATCTGAGTCTTGGCTGGTTGTGGTGGCTCACACTAGTAATCCCATCACTTTGGGAGGCCAAGGTAGGCAGATCATGAGGTCAGGAGATCGAGACCATCCTGGCCAACAAGGTGAAACCCCATCTCTACTAAAGATACAAAAGATTAGCTGGGTGTGGTGGTGCACGCCTGTAATGCCGGCTACTGGGGAGGTTTAGGCAGAAGAATGGCTTGAACCTGGGAGGTGGACGGAGGTTGCCGTGAGCCGAGATGGCGCCACTGCCTGATGCCGTGACTGCAAAGTCTCCTGGAGAAAGTGGGACGTCACGCCCAGGGACGAAACGGAAATGCAGGACTTAGAAAAACACACTCCCACAGCAGAGCCCCGGGCACCGGAGCCTGTGTTTGGGGTGATCTGCCTAAAATGCAGGCAATTCCTGCCCCCCACGGTTCTGAGTCAGTAGAACAGGGTGAGATGCAGGAATGTGTGTTTCTGACAAGTCCCCAAGACTGGATTTTGGTCCCTAAACTATCACTTGTGGGAGTGGTCACAGGACAAAGACCCCCAGCCCTGGTGACCACACCATCCCCAGCTCACTCCCAGACAGAGGAGGGGTTGGGGGGCCCAGGTCAGAGGGACAAGTCATCCCTGCTGCTGTAGCCAGAGCCACCTGAGGCTCTCACCTTCAAGTCCCCAGAAAAAAGGGGAGAAAGGAACGAAGGGGGCCAGCTGCAGTAGCTCACACCTGCAATCCCAGTACCCCGGGAGGCCAAAGCAGGTGGATGGCTTGAACCTGGGAGTTCAAAACTAGCCTGGGCTGGTCTACTAAAGAGATGCCATGGCTAAACCCCATCTCTGCAAAAAATACAAAAATTAGCTGGGTGCGCTGGCACGCCCTGCAGTCCCACTATTCATGAGGCTGAGGTGGGAGGATCGCTTGAGCCCAGGAGGTCAAGGCTGCTGTGCGCTGAAGTCACGCTACTGCACTCCAGCCCGGGCAACAGAGCAAGACCGTGTCTCCAAAAAAAGAAACAAACTGAACCACCCGGGATGGCTAAGTCACTGCTGCTCCTTCCTGCGTCACCATCCAACCCCCGTCTGAGTGGCAGAGGGGGAAGGCTCTGGACGGAGCCTCGAGAGCAGCTCTGTGTCCCTCACAGGCGAACATGCCCAGAACCTGGCCTGGCTCAGGGAGGGCCCTGCTTGCAGTGGCAGAGCCCCAGAATCCATCAGGGGACAGAGGACACTCAACTGGGGACAGTGGCCACGTCTGGGGGACCGTGCTGTGTTCCTTCCTTCCTCCCTCCCCCCACTTTCTTTCTCTCAGATGTCCTGTTTCTAGTCTTTTTTTTTTTTTTT